AAGCTGCTCCTTCAAGTGCGATAAAAACTCGTCCATGTTTAGAAATTGATTTGAATGCTCCGGGTGAAAGTTCTTTAGAAGATGACGAAGTTGGATATTCAGCTCCTCTAGAGATTATTAGCCATCTGCCTACTAACCAAAAGAAAGAAGAACCAAGTTCTCCATCCATTCCTTCTGGAGGAGGGGGTCTCAATCTTGATCTGAACAGAGTTGATGATGAGTCTAATGATGTGGGCCAGTGTTCATTAAGAAGTGGCATTTTTAATAGTAACATATTGGAGGGACCTGTTGAACCATTACAATCGCAATGTGCGCCGTCTCGTGAGGTCAGAATGGACTTTGATTTGAATAATGGCCCCACCGCTGATGATATCACTGTGGAACAACAGCCTTTTTTGTTCCAACAGAATAGCCGTGGGAACATCAGAATGAACAATCCAGAAATAGGGAGCTTTGCTTCTTGGTTCACTCCTGTTTGTGGATATTCAGCTGTCAGTGGGCCGCCACCACAACAATCACTGGCCAGTAGTCCCTTTCCTCTCGATATTTATCAAGGCTCTGTTCTATCATCATCACCTGCTGCTGCTTACCAGATTCCCATGTTTCCCTTCGGTACGACAAGTTTTCCACTCCCATCCACAAGTTTCCCAGTAGGTTCTGCTCCGTATATCAACTCCTCGCCTGGTGGGAGGCTGTTTACTGCTGCAGTCAATTCACAGTTGCAGGGTCCTGTCGTCAGTGCTTCATCAGCTCATCAATTTCCCAGGCCGTACATGGTCACCCTCCCGGACAATGGTACTAGTGGTAATAATGGGAAATGGGCTAAACAGAGCTTGGACCTGAATGCTGGACCTGGATATATTGATATCATCCATGGTGGAAGGGATGAGTCTTTGATGACTTCAAGACAACTGTCTATTGCTCATGATCAACAGTTATTACAGTCAGCGGGTGAGCATCATGCATTGTACCAGCACCCTGTAGCTGCAGGTAACATCATGAAGAGGAAGGAGCCTGATGGGGGCTGGGGTGATAATGATAGCTTCAGGCACAACAAGCAGTCGTCATGGCACTAAGAGTGTGCTGTGTAAAAAGATGCCATCTTGCCCAGCTCTGAGCTGTAGTAAGTTTTAATTTCTTTCTGATCTCATTTGCATTACTCCTCAACAATAGAAATCGCTGTTGCAAGAACTTTTTCAACCTTTAAAAGTCTATTTTTAAAAGGCAACTGTATTATTGTAATTTGAAACTCCTATAAATGCCAAACCACAAGTAATTTTAGTCAATCTCTCCAAGCAAGATTTTGTTGGGGTACGAAGGGAGTGTTGTATTATCTTAAATAACCAATGAATGATGAAGTATTGCTCCCTTCACTCTATAATCAATTGTAATTTGTTTCTTTCATTTGGAAATAATGAAGGGCCACAAGTGGCGTGGTGCCTTTGGATGCCAAGTGTTAGAATATTAATAAATGTGTGTAACCAATGCCTGACTTCCCAGATAAACGGGTGGTTGTATTACCCTTTTGAAAGGAGGTGAATTCGCACCTTTGGCCTCTACGGACACAACGGGAGAGAAATTTCACCTGTCACGCCAGATCATGCCAGATCCGCTCTTCATTCCCAAAGCTGTTACAAGCATGTTAAACAGGGTAATAGTCACCTCACAAATGATGGACCTCACATTGAGGTGATTGTATCCTAAATTCCTACTCGGCCATCCCTGCAGCCAACATGCTTTAGAAAAATGCAAATGTGCTGGAGTTTGGAATAGTAGCAAGGGAAAAATCCTCAATTTGTACCTTTTTCTCAATGTATCAAGTAGAAACGGGTATACGAGTTTTGAGATTTTGGGAAATCATAAATATTGGAATGGTTTGATATAAACAATTGTGCTTGGTGATTTTTTTAAATTAGTAACGCATATGCTTAATAACTCATATACTCTTGTTCTTAACCTCTCTCCCTTAATTGATTATTTAAAATGATATTTAACTAATTTATTTAATTGTAGAGTCGGGGGATAGGATGCTGGCTCTGTGGAAGCAAGATGGATCATCTTTGTGTTACTACCCTGATGTGGACAACCTTCTTTGATTGACAATGCTTGTGGGTGGAGTGATTATAGAGCATGGGGAAGTTGTGCATTCTTTCTTGGTGGGATTCTGAGAAATGCTTTACCCTCTGTAGATATATTTAACTGTTCGAAAACTATTTTTAAAGAAAAAATGAATCAGGGAGGGCTGGTAGCAGCTGTGTAAGCCATTCTCTTTCATGCAGTTAAGATGTATGCACTTTGGTTTTGATCATCTTACATGTTCCTTTGCAAGCTTTTTTGTCCATTATTTTCTTCATTTTCTTTGTTGTCAGTACCCTTGATGTGATCAGAATAGGGGTAGTCAATAGCTTGTGAATTACGTCTTCAGGCTGCAAACTGTGGCGCCAAAACACACAGGGGCGATCTTCCATGGACACAAATCGTTGTAAAGATGTGAAGCTGTAAAATATGTACGGAGCAGATAAGAATATAAAAAACCATGTATTTGAAATACACACGCTCCTTTGAGACGGCACTTGTGCATAAGTAGTGATGGTTTGAAACCCAATGTTTGCTGAACCCATCTGCTTCTCCCCCAACTAGGGATGGACCTGGGCTGGGCCAGGCCAGACCCGTGCAGTACTGGTTTTGGATAATTGGATGCCAGTACCGGCCCGGTATGCTCTGGAGTCTGGACTGGTTCTGATGCAGGTCCAAACAGTACCCAGCTAGGGTTGGTACCCATTTAATTAATTTTTTTTCTTCTCAAAAACAGCCGTTGGGCTCGGCCTGTCGGCGGGGAGGGGTATAAAAAATCAAGCTCGAAGCCTACCCCTTATGACCATCGGCCCGAGTACTGGTCGTATTGGTCTCGGAAAATCAGGATCGGGCTAGTAACAACAGTACCGGTCTTGAGTCGGTCTCGAATCTGATCACCTGAGCCTAGTCCATCCTTACTCCCAATGGGGTTGCCCAAAACCAAGGTCCTAGGTAGAGATCAAGCTTGAGCCGGCGGGTGAAGGGGGACATGTCAAGTAGGAATGGCCTGAGCTGGGCCCCGGGACGGGTTGGGCCGAGTCTGGGTACATGGGGTTTTGGGATGAAGGCCTTGGGGTCCGGGCCTTGGGGTTTTGGGATGAAGGCCCGGTATCGGCCCGGGTGGGTCCGAGGGTCGGGTCTTGGTCGGGTTGGGTCGGGCAATTTTTTGTTTTTGATAATTTTGTTTAAAAATTAATTCAACAAGTGCTAGATAATAAAAAGTTAAAGTATATTTATTTGAAATATGAACTACGATTGAGAATTGAGAAAAAACTAAAACATTGAATACATTTCCTACAAATCACTTGGAATCTCATCAGCAGCATTGATTGTTGTTTTCTCCACGAAGTGGCGGGTGGGATGCTAACTTCTTGAGTTCTATGTTGGACCTTCAACCAATCGCGGAAGCAAACAAGCGTTTCAAGAGATTTTGATCTCAATCTCGTTCTATAATCTGTTAGCACGTTGTCGGCCGTAGTAAATTCTTGTTCCATAGTAACTGTTGATACCGGCATTGATAGCACTTGTTTAGTCATCTTTGATAAAATCGAGATTTTTTTCTCTTTGTCCTTCCACCACTGCAGAACGTCAAAGTCATCCCTGTCTTCATAGTCAACAGGAAACATTAGATATAAAGAAAGCTCGTTAATCGAGTTTTGTGCAACAATGATAGTTGAATTACTTTTTTTCATTAGATTTTTTTCATTAGATTAACAAATGTAGATTTCAAAAATGATTTTCCTTTAGATGAAGAAGATGTCCGTGTCGGGGGAGGGGGTGCGTTACCATATTGTGCATGAAACTTAATTGATGAAATAAGTGACTAACCTCGTTGTATTGCTCTTTAGGATCTATGGGCTAATCTTCGTACATATGGACCAAAAGAAGAAGCATAATAGTACTCTAAACAATTTTGAAAAGCATTAAGTTTAAAACGAGGATCAAGAATAAATGCAATACCATATACTTCGTATATGCGGAATTTCTGAATAATATTTTAAAAACTTTTCTTTCATGAAAGAACAAAAATAATGAATGTAAGGGGCTTCGAAAAATTCAGAAAAAGCACTAGCGAGATTTACAGCTTTAACATAAAATTGGTTTGCGGTAGTTTTATAAACATGACTAAAAGTTTGAGTTGCATTATTAAAATATACCAAAACATTGACAATTTTTTGCAGTGTCGATGTCAGCTGGATTTATAATATAGTTAGCATATTCTTTTAAAAAAGTAAAAAATGGTCTTTAAATCAAATAAGTACAACAATTAGTTAGCATTTTGAGACTCACTAGCAATAAGTACTACTTTCTAGCTCTTGTTTTAGTAACCGGTCCGGAACTCCCGTTCGACCACTCCTTTGTAATCAGCATTTGTACCCAATACAATTGAGCTACTGAACCATCTTGTTTGTTGACCAATTACTCTGATTTCATCTCATTCATAACATTCTAACGATAACGGAGCGTGTTGAGCCTTTGATCTTAGAGGAATTAACCTCAATACACATGAAATAAGAAAGAGGTGGTAACACATAATTATAATATATAATTACATAATGTTATATTCAGATTTCATAATTTCTACGTATGATTTATTTTTGCCCCATTTCCCTTTTTGTCAAATTTTACCTTAACTCTCATCTTCTATTTTCTACTTCATGTTTTCCACACTTCACGTTCTTACTATTTTTCTTGAACACCGTGAAAAATTTAGGGAAAACTGTTAAATAACATCCTCATACTATCTCTGATATGTCAATTAGGTCCTCTTACTTAAGAAATACACATACTCATGAAAAAGTTCAATCTAGCCCTTTTAACCGATGACTATCAAATTGCCGGTAATTCTAGAGTTATAATTCCAGATGGATTTTTATTTTATTTTCTAGTCCACATCACTCATTTCCACCGTCCTCATTTTTTTTGGGTGAACTGTAAGTATATTAAAAAAGAAACACCCAAGAAACAAGGGGTTCAAGAATGTACAGTAAAAAAGGAAACAAAAATGCAAGTTGACCACAACATGGACAACCCAAGACCAGCAAAAACAGCCTGCCAAAACGCAACTGCCCACCCTCCAAAGAGAGGGAGAAGCACAAGAAAACCAAAACAACCAGCCCAAAGAGCATATAAGCAAAAACCTTCACCAAAAAACAGTAGTGAAGGTCACGAAAAGAGCTTACAACTTTACAAGCTCATAAGGATAAAGGCTATACAAAATCTTATAAGTGATATATTGGATTCTAGCAAAAACGTCATCTTCTCTTGGAGTCAAACCATCCAAGCATGTAGCATTCTGGGTCCTCCAAATCCAGTAGACGGAATAGCAAAAAGCGATCCTAGCTGCCTTTGCTTTGATTCCCGAGCCCTGCCTCTCTTTCTTGATCCATTTCAACGAGGTATGCAAGGTCCCCATCCCCCTAGGAAGCTGCAACCACGTCTTAACTTTTTGCCAAACATTACCTGCAAAAGGACAAACAAAAAATAGGTGTGGTACCGTTTCGGGACCACCCTTACAGAAGGGGCAGATGTTAACAACATCCAGCCTATGCAAATTATCAAAAGTAGTCAGTCGGTTGCGAAAGGCTAACCAAATTGTGAAGGGGAATTTGGGGGGGATATATAGCTCTTCCAAATGAAGGACATCCAACTATGAGCATCCCCCTTAATTCGAAGCAAGTCATATACTTTGGCCGAAGAAAGCTTACCATTGGTTTGAATAGTCTCAAGGTAACCAATGACAACTTGGGTGTTATCAAAATGAGCCACAATTTGATCTCTAATCAAGACAATCTTCTTGATCAATTGGGAATCTCTTGGGTGAGGTGTAAACTCCCAAACGATTTCAAGGCAATCAAGGCAATCTTCTTGATCAAAATGAGCCACAATTTGATCTCTAATCAAGGCAATCTTCTTAATCAAGGCAATCCACCGTCCTCATTATCTTACTGCTGGAGTTCCTCTCTGTCTACGCATGTATTAACTTCTCCATCTTCCCTTGTTTTCTTTTTCATCATCTCATTTTTTGTATTCTTATCTTTTACTCCGTATTATATTTTACACACACACACATACTAGTATATACTACGTGTATATATATTGTTCTTCCTCCCCTTTCCGCGTGGATTAGCAATCACTTCTCTGCCCGGACAAGCCTCACTTGTTCAGTGGGAGAAAGGAAAAGTAGCTCTCGGTACAAGATCATGATCTTGTGCCTGGATGGTCACCTAGGCACAAGAAAACTGGCCTCATATGAGGTTTGGTGCCAGCACCTCTCTCCTAAGTACCACTCGCCCCAAGAAGTCAGGCGAAATATATATCTTGTTCTTTTTCCATAAAAAAATTCTCGTTCTTTTTATTTTGTCTTATAATTTCACAACGGAATCCAAGGATGGGTCAAAAAGTCTACTTAATAACCATTGCAATATATATAATGTATACTCATCGCCTTCATTGGTTTGTGTCATGACTCATGAGTGCCACCTAATACTTTTGACCAATCTGCAGCAGCTGCTTTATCGAAGGTGCGCCGGGCAACTGACGGATTCTATGAAATTGGAGCACGGGTTCGTCAGGGTCCCCTCTGAGCTTTACTAAAAATAGTTCCAACCACTGTATCTCGAGGAGGAACTTTCATCCGCTATTTCAGGCTTCAGAGATTCGGAGAACTCACGGAATCACCAGCGACGAAGCCTCACACATGGCTCATGTCTCCAGGATGCAAGGGCTTAGAGAATTTGAAATTAAGAGGGCAGTCAAATGGAGGATGTGCAAGCAATAAACATGGTGGGGTCTGGTTTTAAATGGTCTAAGTTGACCGAACCTTTGTAGGAAAAATGTAAGAGAAAAAATACTGTAGCAAACATGACCGGCCAACGGCCACATCATCAATTAAGAGGAGAATCAGTACTTTCACTGACTAAAAAGAAGAATTGTTTGTTTTTATGTAGATTGAGGGCTCAATTGAATGATTTATTTGATATAGTACAAGGATCTATTTGACAGTTTTCCCAAAAATTTATGAATTTATGAATATAAACACACACATGTCCATTACTTTTTACAATAATAATATACAGACAAAACTATCAAATAGCCTCATGTACTATAGTAATATAACAATTATGCCCTTGTATCATTGAATCACTCGATCAAACCTCAAACTTTAAAAACATTCAGAATAACTTTTTAGCAGGTTAGTAGGTTACCAATAGGTTAACTGGTTAGGCGCTTACATGGTCTCCCATTTGCGAAAGAGTAATAGTCTTCATGAAAAGATTGAAACAAATCTTCCCAATGTTAAGGTTTGGTGGATGAAAAATGAACCATGAAATTGTCATTTCAAAGGTGTCCACATGACGGCCACCACAACTTGGCGGAGGAATTCACAAGGATTCAAACAAATTCGTGGGCAAAGTTGGGAGTTCCACCGAAGCGACAACACCTTTCACCCTTCTTTCGTTTGTGCCTTCTTCAGCTTCAAAGGCCACAAGGATGTCAAGGAAGTCAACAGACAAGAACGTCAATTTATATTTGCCTCGAAACCTATTAGCATATGAATCAGGATGAAAATGTTTATTATTATTATCTGAATGTACAAAGGGAGTATATAAACGAATACAATCAGATTGGGTTGACCAGCTGGCTTATTTGTTCTAACTAACTGTACGGACTAACCGAATTAGTTGTATTTCAGCTATATTATGTATTTACAAATATAAACTTTGATCAAAATAATGATCATATACTAATAGCCTCCCTCAAGGTGGATCGAATATGGAATGAAGATTCAGCTTGGAGACATTAGTATTGAATGCAGTAGGTAGTAATGCCTTTGTGAAACAGTCCGCTAGTTGGCAGGATGTTGGAACAAAAAACTGTTTGATTAAGCCCTGGTCAAAGTTTAATTCGTATGAAGTGACAGTCGACTTCGATGTGCTTCGTTCGTTCATGAAATGTAGGATTTTTGGCAATTTGGATGGCAAATTGACTGTCACTATAGACATGGAAAGGCATGGAAGCGGAAGCATGCAAATCACGTAGAAGAAATTGAATCCATTGTAGTTCACACGCCAGGGATGCTAAAGCTCTATATTCAACTTCAGAAGAAGATCTGAAAACAGTGCTTTGTTTCTTTGATTTCCATGAGATTAAAGAATACCCTAGAAAAACACAAAACCCTGTGACTGATTTCCTTGTGTCAGGGCAAGTGGCCCAATCAGAATATGAGAAAGCTTGTATTTGAAGAGTGTTGGAGGATGAGAAAAACAGACCAAGAGATGGTTCCTTTTTGAGATATTTGAGAATGCGTAAGGCAGCATGAAGGTGAGGTTCTCTGGGAGATGACACAAACTGGCTAAGTTGTTGTACATCAAAGGTGATGTCAGGTCTTGTATTAGTGAGGTAGATTAGGCGGCCAATCAATCTTCTATATGAGGTAGGATTATGTATAGGATTTCCTGTATCTGCAGCCAATCTTTGAGCAGAATCAATAGGTGTGGGAGCTGGTTTACAACCACACAGGCCAAATTCATCAATCAACTCAAGGCAGTATTTTCTTTGATGTAGGATAATTCCCTTTTTGGATCTAGCAACCTCAAGTCCTAGAAAATACTTTAAGTTACCCAGATCCTTTATGTGAAATTGTTTGTGAAGCAATGTTTTTACTCGTTTGATTTCTTCAGCATCATTCCCTGTAAGTATGATGTCGTCAACATATACTAATAAGACTATTAGTGAAGATCCTATGTGTCTGACAAAGAGAGAGTAATCAGCTAGGCTTTGCTTGTATCCAAGAGTGATTAATGTAGACGTCAATTTGTGATTCCATTGGCGACTAGCTTGCTTTAGACCATAAATGGACTTATGTAATTTACAGACGAGATTGGGATGTGAAATGAGAAGTCCCGGTGGAGGTTTCATATATACTTCCTCATGTAAATTCCCATGAAGAAAAGCATTATCAACATCTAGTTGCTCAATATACCAGTTGTTAGTACATGCCAAAGATAATAACAATCTCATTGTGGTAAGTTTTGCAACAGGTGAATATGTTTCAAAGAAATCAATTCCTTCTGTCTGTGTAAAACCTTTGGCGACGAGTCTGGCTTTGTATCCTTCAATAGAACCATCAGATTTCAATTTAACTTTATAAACCCATTTGCAACCCACTGCCTTTTTACCTGGAGGTAATTTCACCAGGGACCAAGTTTTATTGTTTTCAAGAGCTTTAATCTCAGTAAGCATTGCTTGTCTCCAACATTCATGTTCATTGGCTTGTTTGAAAGAAGAGGGTTCAGAATGAAGTGAAAGGGAATGACAGTAAGAAATGTATTTAGGAGAACAATTGGAGAGATTAAGTTGTGGTTCCAAGGAATAAGAAGTAGAAGAATTGGTAATAGCATTCCCAAAGTAGTAAGCATCAAGGTAACCTGGAGCTTTCTTAAGTCTTTTGTTTGAAGTGATGTTTGGAATAATGGATTCAGATGATTGAGAATCAGGAGTTGGTGTAGGAGGGATGATGACAAGATCAGAAGAATCTGTGGAATGCATTTGAGATTGGAATGGAAATTGAGTTTCATATAATAGAACATTTCTGGAAATGAAAATATTTCCAGAATGAAGATTGTATAATACGTATCCTTTAGTGGTTTCTTTAAAACCCAGAAAGATGCATTTATGAGCTCTACTGTCCAATTTGGTCCTGTTTGCTGTAAGAGTGCTAGCAAAAGCAAGGCAACTAAATACTTTTAAATTCCTCAGATCAGGTTTAGAATGAAAGGTTAGCTCAAAAGGAGATTTGTGATCTAGAATAGGAGAAGGAATTCTATTGATAATGTGGATTGCATGTTTAACAGCAAAGGACCAGAATGTTTTAGTGAGTTTAGCTTGAAAAAGAAGTGCTCTAGTGATGTTGAGAATATGTTGATGTTTCCTTTCAACAATGGAATTTTGTTGAGGACATTCAACACATGAGGTTTCATGGATGATGCCTTTGTTGTTATAGAAATCTGGTAGGATGAATTCCTTTCCATTATCAGACCTAACTTTCTTGAGTTTAAGGTCAAATTGATTTTCAATTTTCAGAATGATGTTCTGGAGAATGGTTTTGACTTCACTCTTTGTTTTAAAAAGGTGAGTCCAAGTGAATCTAGTGAAGTCATCAACTACAGTAAGGAAGTAGCTATAACCATCAATGGAAGTTACAACTAAAGGACCCCAGATATCTACATGTATGAGTTCAAAGAACCTGGTAGTTTTTGTTGTGCTATTGGGGTATGGTAATTTCTTTTGTTTAGAGAAATGACAAACATCACAGCTTGAAAAAGAAGAATATGGAATGTAAGAATACTGACTTGACAATTGTTTTAAGACAGTATTAGAAACATGACCAAGTTTGAGATGCCACAACAAAGAAATGTTAGTTGGGCTAGAATCTACATTATTACAAGATTTTGAGAAACTGTGATGATTAAAAGAAAGATAGAACATGCCTTGATGCTTTTTAGCTATACCAATCTTCTTCAATGTTGTTTTCTGCAAGATGAAACAATTTGAAAGATCAAAGATGATGAAGTGTTGACTGTTAGACAAAAGTTTTGGAATAGAAATCAAGTGTGCAGAAAAGTTAGGAACAAACAGAACATTTTCAAGGATTAATTGCCATAGAATAACTGTTCCTGCAAACTTGGAGAGAACTGAAGTGCCATTAGGAAGTTTAATGTGCACAGGAGGAATGGATTTTAGAGAAGAAAATAAATGTTGAGATGGACAAATATGATCTGTGGCACCACTATCTATAATCCAATGAACCATAGAGGAAATGTTACCAGGCAGATTAAAAGTAGATGTGGAAGCATGATGAACTGAAGGGTTGGAAATCTGAGAATGCTGAAGAAGAGCCAGAACATTATGATATTGCTCTTTAGACAATAAAAATTGATCCCGAGTGTTATCCTCCTCCAGAGTAGGGGACACCGAGTTATCAGCAAGGTCCATAGAAGCTAAATGTGCTGATGAAGTGGTTGCATTTTTGTTTTTGTATCCGGGTGGATATCCATGGAGCTCAAAACATGTATCACGAGTGTGATTGTTCCTGCCACAGTAATCACAGTGTTTTTGTCCTCTGCCTCTTCCTGTGTCTTGAGTTCTACCACCACGATTGTTGTTGAAAGTTCTACCACCACGAGAATTGTGAAAACCACCACGAGGCTTGAATACATTTTCTGAAGATTGATGATAAGTGGAGCTAGAATAACCAATGGCTGCTAACACAGTTGGATTGGAGGATTGAGAGATTGAAATTGATGTTCCAAACTCTCGTTCTTGTTGTAGTATGAGATTGAAGGTTCTGGTAAGAGTTGGTATTGGAGATGTTAACATGAGTTGAGAAGGTGCTTGTGAAAATTCCTCGTTCAATCAACGTAGAAATTTAATAACATAATCATCCTCTCTTTCTTTTATTATCTTTTGTAGAACACCACAAGAGCAAGGAATTGAACATTTGCATATAAGGACTGTGCGAAATTGTTCGAGTTCTTTCCATAGGGCTTTAAGTCTGGTAAAATACTCTGTAACAGAAGAAGTACCTTGATGAAGATTCCGAATCTCTTCCTGGAGATCTGCTATGCGAAAAACATCACCATGTGAAAATCGATCTCGCAAATCTTTCCAGATTTCATGTGCTGTGTTAAAATAGATGACAGATTCAGCTATTGAAGATGTCATGGATCTCATTAACCATGCCATAACCATACGATTGCAGCGACGTCATGGTTCTCGTAGAGGATCAGTTGGGGATGGAGAAAAAAGTGAACCGTCAACAAACATATCCTTGTTCTTTGATTCGAGCATAGCGATCATGTTGTGACGCCATGAATGATAATTCTTCTCTGTGAGAAGATTAGGAACCAAAATAAGAGTCGGATTTTCACTTGGATGAAGAAATAGTGGATTGGAAGGATTTGTGAGATGATCATGAACAAGATCATCACGAGATTCAGAAGATCTCGTAGTGACCATGACTGCGTTTTACTCAAGAACAATCGAGAAATAGAGTTGCGTCTGATACCATATTAGCATATGAATCAGGATGAAAATGTTTATTATTATCTGAATGTACAAAGGGAGTATATAAACGAATACAATCAGATTGGGTTGACCAGCTGGCTTATTTGTTCTAACTAACTGTACGGACTAACTGAATTAGTTGTATATCAGCTATATTATGTATTTACAAATATAAACTTTGATCAAAATAATGATCATATACTAATAAAACCAGAGTTCTACGTTGACTTGACCCAGTTCCTAGCTAGCTGACTCTTGGCCGGACGAAAAAGTCAATGTCAAGTATAGTGGGTGTGAAGGTCGGGAAGAAAAGGTCAAAGAAGAATCGCCTTCCTTCTTCTTACAGTGTCCGCAGAGATGCATTTTCACAAGTTATGTGATGGTGTGGGAGATCCAAGAGCAATACAAACGATTAAGAAGGTTGAAAGGAGTCTAAATGAGATGCACCAAGTGTTCATGGACATGGGCGCTGAAGTTGAGATTGGTTTCCGGCAAGAATTGAAGGGGAGATGAATCTCTAGACCACTCAATTTTGTTGTTATTAGGGAGGGGAAGAAGATCGAAGATTTGGCCAAATGCATGTAGATTAGCCTAGGCACATGTGCATTTAGTGTGCCACATAGGTCGCCACATGCATGTCCATTTAACCCGTTATTTAATTACTAAAAATCGATTTGAGCATATTTAAAGTTGAGTAATATTTAAGTAGGATGACTTAGTTGGCCTATTAATTTCATATAGAAATGAATATTAACCATTGAACCGGAAAATTATAGCTCAAAGTTATGCCTGGTCTCATGCATGTGTCCGCCCCTGAGCACAATACATGAAGGTCACCATGTCTGATATGTCAGAGGGCTGAAGCTAAGTAAAAGTCTGATTCTTTAATCCGATTTGCAAACATCATGCGGAGTAGTTGTAGTTTCGTTAGTGCATGAGATTTAACAAGTGCCACTTTATTGCTGCTATTTTAATATGTACGAGTAGTAATTTTTGGAGTGTCATACTCTGTATTAACTTTACTTTTTTTTTGGTAATAACTTTACTCAAATCACATTTTCTTAATAATAGTGATAATGCTACTATTAACTTTACTCAAAGTTAGAAAAGTAACTTCTAACATTACTTATTTTGATTACTCACTCTGTTTCTGGATTATCTTCCAAATTTTGTCCCAAAATAATCTTTACCTTCCCTTTTTAGGGTAGGGAGGAATTTGTGATTCACAATGTTTCTTATACATTCGTACACATTTTTCTTTCATCTCACAACTCACCACCACACAATATCCATTATCTTAATCCTCATGCCAAATGTACTTTGGAAGATAATTTATTGATGGATGAAGTAGCTAGTATACAATGTAGTGCGTGAAATAAAATTTTTTGCATTCGATGAAAAAAGACTAAAAATGTTTAGAAGTTGAAAAATATGATCACCAAACCGGCCCTTAATATTAATATTATAAACGTAACTTAATACTATGTATTTTTTGCAACAATCAAGATTTTATTTGAAATACCTATAAATTAATAATGTGATGTGGTGTCTTAGTATTTTACTAATAATAAAATAAACTAATATTATTCTATATTCGTAAATAAATTAACTAAATAGAGAAACGAATTTACTAATTATGGGGGTAGTAATTTACTGCAATGAAGAAGCCAACTAAAATGTAACTTACGAATCTTAATCTTGACGAAATAATACGTACTACATGACATTAGGTCTATACGTGGCTTTACTATACGAAGTATTCCAGGTTGCAGCTAGACCAGAAAAAACAGGACTTTGGGTCTGACATGTGTACCCAGCGTTGCAGCCCAAGGAGCGAGAAATTAAAACTCCCGTGTTTTCGTCCATGGAAAGGAATCTTTGTGTTTTTGGAACAACAACGGCAAACTCCCGCTTATCCACCATTCTCTCGTATATGTAGCTATACTGATTTATTTAGGAAGCCATGCTGAGCAAATAGTTGGGTACAATAATGATACCATTATACAAGGACTCTCCCAAATAATATCCCACTGAAAATGAGGGCACCAAACCATTTGTTAGACACAAATCTGCACATGCGAAGGCAAAAAACATTAGTAGCCATTCTGAGGAACTCAATCAACTAGATGGAGTTGAAATGCTTAAAATTAGAGCTAGTAGTTTGCAACAGAGATGAGACAAACTGTGGATCTCTTGGGCAGCACGCATATCACTTATTGGGTGTTAGCCCAGCATAACTGATGCATTCATAGGGCATCATTATTACCGCAAAAAGAAGCAAAGCTAAAAATCAGCAAATCACACTGATCCGGAAGAAAAATAATAAATCAGAGAGAATGACGGATAAGCCGGACTTTCAATTTCTGTCCTAAAATACGAAGATTCCTTTCGATGGTCGAAAACAAGAGAGTTTCAATTTCTCTCTCCTTAGTCTGCAACGCCGGGTATAGTTTCAAAAATACCCGTTCTTCATGGAATACTTCATACTACTTGGGTAAAAAAAAGATCTTCCCACTTCCCTTTTCAACCGTATCTAAATAGTCTTCCAATTTCTAAATCTTCCCATCATTACCTCAATAATTTTGAAAACAATACACTACAATTATTATTATTTTTGGATCATTCCATCACACTACTCCATTATCTTCCCATCATACCCTCAATAATTTATATCTCCTTTTGCTATTCATAATCTCACCTACTTTCAAAGTGGGGAGATCTCACCTATAATAAACGTATACCACATTACATATCCACCCCAAACTCCAAAAGACCGAAATCATAAAAAAGCTCTTCAAATATTCGAATACTTTAAATTATGAGATTTTGTAAGAGTTGTTTATGAAATTTGTTGTTTTGGATGAATATTTATTTCCTCTTACTTCTAACTATATATATATATAAACACATATGTTTATGCATATATGTGTGTGTGTGTATAAGAGTTACGCCTCAATGCGCAATGAGGCTTACGCAATACGCAATCATTAAAAAGACTCAAATATGCAATCATTAAAAAACGTCTCAAATATGCAATACGCAATTTTGAACCTTGCTTGGGTATGGATCCATAATGTCTTCCATGTATCCCTTCTCAAGCCGCATCAGGGACCTCCTCTGGATACAATGAGCAAACTTCCTCCGGAGCCTAGCAATCTTGGCACCACAATTTCACAGGCAATTCTTTGCAGCCATTTGTTAAACGGAAATTGGGAGCTTTTAGTTCATTGGCAAGGAGACGAGGCAACATGGGAGCCACTGGATTCCTTCCAGAGAAAATATCCTGATTTCACACTTGAGGACTGTGAACAAGTATGGTTGTATTTCATATACTTGATATTAAAATGCTATACAAGAAGCTATATTTATAGCTATATTTAGAGTACTAGGGTTTCCTATACAAGATATACAAATGGGCTAAGCCCAATACTACTAGGGTTTCCACACTCCCCCCTCAAGCTGGAGCATATAAATCATATGTACCAAGCTTGTTACAAATATATCCCACTCTAGGACTTCTAAGAGACTTAGTTAAAATATCTGCAAGTTGTTCAGTTGTGTTGACATATTTTGTGATGATATGTCCACTCGTGATCTTCTCTCGGATAAAATGACAATCAACTTCAATATGTTTTGTCCTCTCATGATATACCGGATTTGATGTGATGTGCATTGCAGCTTGATTATCACACATGAGTTGAACCGGTTTTGTGTTTCCATATTTTAACTCTTGGAGGAGATGCTTCAACCATAAGATTTCACATGTAGCAAGGGCCATTGCACGCTATTCTGCTTCAGCACTAGATCTGGCAACCACATCCTGTTTCTTACTTTTCCATGAAATTGAATTTCCACCAATCAAGATGCAATATCCCGAAGTGGAACGTCTATCCATCGGACATCCGGCCCAGTCTGCATCACAGTATCCCACAACATCATTGTGGCCTCGATCTTCAAACAACAATCCTTGCCCCGGATTTTTCTTGATGTATCTCAAAACTCGAATAATTGCATCACAATGTCCCGTACATGGCTTATCAAGAAATTGACTAAGAACACTTACCGCAAATGAAATATCTGGTCTCGTGATGGTATGATAATTCAATTTGCCGATGAGTCTTCTATATTTTTCCTTGTTGGGCAAAAGATCTCCCTGTTCTGATAGGAGTTTAACGTTCGGATCCATTGGTGTATCCACTGGCCTGCAATCTAGATCCATTGGTGTATCCATAGGAGTCATCAACATACACAACAAGATAAATACATTTGTTGCCAACAGAATGTCGATAGAATATAGAATGATCGACATCACTGCGAATCATGCCAAAGCTGCAGATAACATCTGCCCAATACTGAGGTGGTATATGGGAATGTAATAATAGGGTACGAGCAGTATCAACCAAGTGTCGCTTCTTGCGTTTAGCAACCCCATTTTGTTGAGGCGTGTGAACACAAGAGGATTGGTGAAGCATACCTCGTGATGCCATGAATTGATTAAAGGATGCACCAAAAAATTCTTTAGCATTGTCACTGCGTAAAATTTTGATAGAATGACCAAACTGAGTTTGAACTTCAGCACAAAAAGTTTGAAAAATATGAAACAATTCAAAACGCTCTTTCATTAAAAACAATCATGTGTAACGAGAAAAATCATCCACAAAAATAACAAAATAACGGAAACCTAAAGTAGAAGTGACTCGATACTGACCCCATACATCTGCATGAACTAAATCAAACGGTGATGTAGCCCGTTTATTGACTCGCCTTGGAAAGGATTTACGAGGTTGTTTTCCAAGGTGACATGACTCGCAATCTAAAGATGAAAGATTTGAGAAACCTGGAACCATACGTTGAAACTTTGAGAGACTAGGATGACCCAGACGGTTATGTAAGGTAATAGCAGGTTCAACTGGAACACGAACGATTGGATCAAAAGGATGGAGATGATATAGACCTTGAGAATCATGGCCGACGCTAATCGTTTTCCCGTACAACGGTCCTGCACAATCACAGAATCAGCAGAAAATGTTACGGAACAATTAAGAGCACGTGTAATTTTACTGCCAGAGACAAGGTTAAAGGTGGTGTTTGGGACATATAAGACTGAGTCTAATATGGTAAGGATGAAAGTGGAAGTGCTTGCCCAATACCCGAAGCCGAAGTTTGAAGGCCATTAGCAAGAGTAATCAAAGGAAGATGTCGGTGCTTGGTAATATGGGATAAAAGATGGGGATTACCAGAAATATGGTCTGAGGCACCTGAGTCAATGATCCATGAGCCTGTTGTGTTTGAAACACAAGCAATAGACATCCCGTGTGTGGATAAATGCATATTAGCCAACTTAAATTGCTGAAATGATGCATATTCTTCCGGTGATAGAACAATGGAAGATGGTGGTAGCTGAGCAACATGGGCTGAAGGAGGAGGTCTCCCATGTAATTGCCTGCACCTGTCTTTAGTATGACCAATTTTATGACAAAAATCACATTGAGGACGATTGCATCTTGAGCATCTGGTGTTGTTTCCTCTGTCAGAACTCATAAAAGACATTTTTTTACTGATTTTTTTTCTTTTTTTTTTCTCTCCCTTTTTTTACTTTTCTGTTTCTTTTTGTTTGTTTTTTTTGAAGAGTGAAAAGCTAATATTAGCAAACCAAATGAGAAATCAAAAATAAAAACATGCTGAGGGGATCAATGCTTCAAGGCAGTAGAACTCATGGAGAAAGCTATTATTTGAAGCAGTTTGCAAATAATAGAAAATTTAAAGTAATGGAGCAGTAACTTCCCAAGACAGCAGCTGGAGTTTGTTGACCAAGACCTTCGCTGGACTGCTGGGAAGATGAACAGTAGAAGCAAATCAGGGAGTATGAAAACCAACCTTTGTCCGGGAGCGACGAAACAAAGCAGCGGCGGAAGCAGTGCGTACGGACGAGCGGCGGTGTGTGGATGACGCCGGATCTGGGCGGCGGCGGCGCGTGGACGGTCGACGGCGGCGTTGTCCTATACCATTCTGGTCGCCGGAATATCAGTATTCTGGGGTGGTTGGTGGTGTAAACAGCGGATGAATAGAAAGATGGAGATCTACAAAAACGTTCAACTGCAGATGCGAACTGCAACGGCGCGTGGAGGCGCGTTGATGAGACGGCGGCGGTGATTTGCACGGTGGTAAGTCGCGATGTTGAGGTGAAGACAAAGGTAGGTTTATATCACTACCGAAAGCACGACATCCACGACCACTATTCACGCCGGAATTTCTGGGCGGAGAGATTCTGCCCGGAATTTCTGGCCGACTCACAGATAATAACACTAACTAATTATATTTGCCTACGTGGCTCTGATACCATATGAACAAGTATTGTTGTATTTCATATACTTGATATTAAAATACTATTCAAGAAGCTATATATATAGCTATATTTAGAGTACTAGGGTTTCCTATACAAGATATACAAATGGGCTAAGCCCAATACTACTAGGGTTTCCACAAGGACAAACTCTTTCTCAAGGAGGGGAGTGATGTTACAGACTATTTTTATGGTCGTACATATAAAATAAGAGATCGAAGGGGGTGCAAATGAAATTAGAAAACAAAGTGGCCAAGGAAAAAATACCAAACAAGCAGAAGAGTTCTATTAGTATTAGTATTAGTAGTAGTATTAGTATTAGTACTAGTACTCGTACTAGTACTAGTATTAGTATTAGTATTAATAACTAATATTAATTAATCCTATTTGGACTCGTATTCCTTTATTATAGTTAATCCTTTTCGGACCAGATTCCCTTTATTATAGTTATTCCTATTTGGACTAGTCTTCCTTTATTGTAGTTCCATTAGAATAACAATTTACTTTAGGAAACCCTTAATATCTATATAAGGGGTTCTCAGTAAAAAAAATGATTCCATTAAGCCCTTTCTTTCCAACCTTGATAGGGCCCTGGGCTGTAGAGAATAATAATAGTAGTAATAGATTGATATTAAATAAGTGTGGTATTGTATAAATAAGGATTCTAGGCCATGTCAAAGAATTTGGGCTGGCCCGTTAGGATATAATTACTATATAAGAGTGGGA